TCTCTGGAACTCCATCCTACAGTCCTTTCACCTTACCCCCTCCCTTGTCTCCTTCAAGACCCTGTCTCAAGACCCTCCTCTTCGACCAACCGTGCCTTCGGTCACCCTCCTTCCCCTATCCTACCTCCACCCCCTCCTGATCCCAACCACTATCTTGGGTCCAAGTCCCTGACCCGCTTGTGAATCGATTGGTCGATCGCGTTACGGGAGTAATAATCCCTCAAAAAAACGTAGTCGCTCAATCCACGACTGTTTGAGGGACACTGCTGTGCACGATTGCCTGTTACGTTTTGCCCACAAAATATACAGACACAACACTTTACAGAGTATCCTGTGAAGCACTTTGAGATGTCTCAACAACGTGACAAGGCGCTATATCAAGTGCAAGGATTATTATTAATATTATTATTCCGTATCCTGATTTTTGTCGTTGCAGAGCTCGGCTGGTCACAGCCGTGTGACGTGTGGAGCATTGGTTGCATCATCTTTGAATACTACCTGGGCTTCACTCTGTTCCAGGTCAGGCTTTTACCAGCTCTAAATCCAGCTCCATTGGCCGCCTGCGTACTCACTCGCACTGAACTCCGTACCCCCATTACACCAGCCCCCGCCAGGCTCCACTGGCTCCCTGTCACACACACTGAACTCCATTCCCCAATCAACCCAGTCCTTGCCAGGCTCCACCGGCTCCCTAACATTGAATGGATCATTTTCAGGATCCTTTCACTCATCTAGAAATCCCTTCTCACCCTGGCACCTCCCTACCTCTCTGATCTGCTTACTCCCCAACCCACTTCCCGCTGCCTCTGCTCAACTGCCTCCGGCCTCCTACTTGTGCCTTCCGTTCCACCACTACGCCTCACTGTCACCCCCTCAGTGCCTCCGCCTTGCCCCTTCCTTCCCCTCTTTTAAATCACAACTGAAGACCTTCCTCTTCGACCGTGCTGACGGTCAACTCCTCCCCCGGCTCGGTGTCAGGCTCTGCCACTGTCGAGCGCTCTGAGACACTACCCCACATGAGGGGAGTGTGTAAACGCGAGTGGGAGGGATTTGATGGGGTGCATTCAGTGGACAGAGTGAGGGTTTGCCTGAGAGCGAACTGAACAGAATAAGCATCTTTCCCCGCTTGTTGCTTACAGACACGTGACAATCGGGAACACCTGGCTATGATGGAGAGGATTCTGGGTCCTGTTCCAGCGAGGATGATCCGAAAAACCAGGTAACGCGATGGGGGTGGGTGTCGCTTACCCTGAGGAGGGGGGAGTTCTCTTACCTGGGGCGAGGGAGGCAGGTGTCAGGGTCACACTGTCAAATGTCCAGTTGTTTCTCTCATGGCCTCTGGCTGGTTTCTGTGTCTTTGAAAGAGCTACCAACTAGTCCCATACCCCCGCTCTTACCCCAACTGGTCCCACTCCTCCCTTACCCCATAGCTCTGCACAATTTTCCTTGGGCAATTTCCTTACTCCCCACGCCTCTGTTTACCTGGCAGTAAGTAGGAACCCGTTTGTTACTCGATTGGCGGATCACTTTCCAGGGGTAATAATCCCTCAGAAAAGTAATAATATGGTCACTCAATCCACGTCTGTTTGTGGGACGCTGCTGTGCGCAATTGGCTGCCGCGTTTCGCCCACAAAATCTACAGTCATTACGCTTTACAGTATATTCTGTGAAGCGCTTTGAGACATCTCGACGACGTGATAAGGCGCTGTATCAAATGCCAGGGTTATGAATAATATTGTAAATCTGTCTGAACAGGAAGAAGAAATACTTCTATCGTGGCCGTTTGGACTGGGATGAAAACAGCTCGGCTGGACGTTATGTGCGGGAGAACTGCAAACCATTAAAGGTAAGGGTGAGGTGACTCTGAGCTTAACAGGGAATCCGTACTCTGTGTGAAGCTTTTTTTGGTCACCTCCCTTTTAGTTCTTTGTTTGGCTCACACGTGCGCTCTCTTCTCTGACAGGACATCCTCCCGACGTGAAAGACGCTGTACACGTGTCACTTTGTTGTTGTTGTTGTTGTATTCTAATGGCGCCGTGGGAGAACTTTAACGTCCAAACAGGCAGACAGGACCCTCGGTTTAACATCTCATCCAAAGGACGACGCCTCCGCCAATGCAACATAACCCCAACGCTGCATCGGGGCATTCGCTCAGACTGTGTGATTCCAAGTTCTGACGTGGGGCTCGAACCCACAACCTTCTAACTCACAGGTGAGAGAGAGAGAGAGAGAGACAGAGAGCAAGCGACTGAGCCAGACTGACACACAAAAGAGCACGAGTGCAACGCCCTGTGTTTCCAAACTTGTCCTCCGAGTTGACAAGAGGAGGTGTGAAAGAGCTCTCGTGTAACTAACGTGTGTGACTGTGACCTCTGCTCCCCAGTGTTTTTCAATTGCAAAAACCAACCCGAAAGCAATCAGCCCGGCTCAGCCGCTCGCACGCTCACCTCTGAGTCAGGAAATAACAGATTTAAGCCACCAAGGAGGGGCTCGGAATGCATATAGTCCAGGCTTGACTCTCCAGAGCAGCGCTGGGGTGGGTGGGGTGGGGGGGGGAAGGAGCGAGAGAGAGAGCGAGAGATAGAGAGCGCCACATTGTCGGTGACACCGTCTTTCGGACGAGACGTTAAACCTCACTCTCACTCTCCCGGTCTGTGCCCTGTTCAGAGGGCGGATACGTTAAAGATTTCCCGCGGCTCTGTCCGAAAACGAGAAGGGAGTTTTTCTCTCTCCCGGTGTCCCGGCAGACAGAGTAAACCAGTCGCTCGCTTCACGGCTGTTTGCGGGGTCGTCGCTGGTTGCAACTCGGCTGCCGCGTTCGCCTACAAGCACACACAGTCACTACGCTTTACAGCGACAGCTGTCGAGCACTTTGAGATGTCCTCCCAACGTGTAAATGTAAGGATTATTTTTTTTTTTGCAAGTTTCCCTACTCCCGGGCGGGACAGGGTGAAACCTGAGGCAAGTTTCCTTACTCCACGCACACACTCGCCTCCACTTACCGGCAGCAATTTTCCGGGGGTAATAATCCCCCCCCAAAAAAAAAGAATACGGTCACTCAATCCACGACTGTTTGCGGGACACTGCCGTGCGCAATCGGCTGCCGCACTTCACCCACAAAATACGCAGTCACTCCACTTTACAGTACATTCCGTGAAGCGCTTTGAGACGTCTCAATGATGTGATGAGGCGCCGTATCGAATGCAAGGACTATTATTATTATTATAATTATTATTGTTATTAACCTCAGACACACGGGTACAGGGAGTAAGGGAGGGATGAAAGGGAGAGAGGAGAGGGAGAATTTGTGTCGTGTTAGAAGCAGATTGTCAAAAATCTACATAGCTGCAAGCCATTTCCCCACCTTAGATGCTTCAAAATGTTCTCAAAGACACACCCTAATCACTCTGCACATTTTGGTCTCTATTTCCTAACAAAAGGATCTGTGGACTTTGCTTCATCAAACAGCAAAGTTGCGGTCGGAGGAAAAAGAAAGGACTTTCCCCTGCTCGTTTTATGTCTCCCGGTAGTATTATTATTATTATTATCGTCCTCAGACACACAGATACAAGGAGTAAGGGAAGGATGAGAGGGAGAGAGGAGAGGGAGGATTGGTGTTGTGTCAGCAGCAGAAGCAGTACTGGAACTCAGCGGTTAGAGCACTCGCATTGCGAGTGAGAGACCTTTGTTCAATTCCAGGCAGAGGGCGAAACCTCGGGCAAGTTTCCTGACTCCACACACCTAATAATAATCCCTCCAAAACCAACAACAATAATAAATTGGTCATTTTCAATCCACGACTGTTTGTGGGACACTCACTGCTGTGCGCAATTGGCTGCCGCGTTCGCCCACAAATATACAGTCAATTCACTTTGGACGGACGCACGGTGTAGAGGGAGCGTTACTGTGTCTGTAACCCTGACCTGGGAGTGTGGACACACAGTGTAGAGCGTTACTGTGTCTCTAACCCTGACCTGGGAGTGTGGACACACAGTGTAGAGGGACTGTGTCTGTAACCCTGACCTGGGAGTGTGGACACACAGTGTAGAGGAGCTTACTGTGTCTCTAACCCTGACCTGGGAGTGTGGACACACAGTGTAGAGGAGCGTTACTGTCTCTAACCCTGACCTGGGAGTGTGGACACACAGTGTAGAGGAGCTTTACTGTGTCTCTAACCCTGACCTGGGAGTGTGGACACACAGTGTAGAGGAGCTTTACTGTGTAAATCCCTTCCCTCAAAAAGCACCATGAAGTAAGAATATAAGAGAAGTTGAGATGGGAGGGGAAACCTGTTTGGTTTGAAGTTACGCATTTGACTGTGTGAGTGTGGAGAAATGTGATCTCAGTCACGAGAGCTGAGATCTCAGATGAGGTGAGGATGTTCTTCACTGGTGACCAAAAGTCACGTCTCTTCTGGAAAGGACCACAAAGTTTGCGGCACTTCCCGTTTCCTAGTGAATTTCTGCAATGTAGGGAGACACAGCGATCGCTACGTATCAGCCCGGGTCAGTCGCTCGCGCTCTCGCCCCTGAGCCAGGAGGTTGTGGTTCACATCGGGACTTGGAATCAGTCTAAGCTCCATTGCAGTGCTGGGGTGGGGGTGGTGGAGGGGGGGAGGAGAGAGAGAGGCGCATTTTCGGAGACACCGTCCTTCGGATGAGACGTTAAACCTCACTCTCTCTCTCTTTCCTGGTGTCCTGGCCGACAACCCCCCCCCAAGAAAATCGCTCGCTCCACGGCTGTTTGTGGGACGCCGCTGTGCGCAAACTGGCTGCCGCGGCTTGCCCACAAAACACACAGTCACTACGCTTTCCAGCGTATCCTGTCAAGCGGTACCAAACGCAAGGATTATTAATGATTAATCATTTCCATCTGGTGCCATTCGGAAAGAGAAGGGACACCGGGAGAGAGAGAGAGAGAGAGAGAAACTCCCTTCTCTCTTCACCCCCCGCCAGCGCCGCGGGAGACCTTTAACGTCCCCCTGAATGGGCAGACGGGGGGAGAGAGAGAGAGAGAGAGCGAGCGAGGTTTTAAACGTCTCATCGGAAGGCAGGGCGAAACGTTGGGGCGACTTTCCTTACTCCAGCGGTCAGCCAGAACCCGCTTGTTCGTGGATTGGCGCAATCGGCCGCTGGGTTTCGCCCACAGATATGCGGCGTATCCTGTGAAGCGCTTTGGGACGTCTCGAAGTCCCCGTCCCCCCCCCCAAAAAAAAAGGGCAAGGATTTCTCCTGCACGTCAGCGCAGTTTAAAATGAGTGGAGGTTTGACTGAGACCAACCCAAGGCACCTTTTTTTTCCTTAAGAGCTCTGGGAAGACGCTCAAATGGCTGCAGCCTCTTGTCAATCGAGCCTTTGCCTGCAGAAGGCAGGCAGTGTATGGTCAGCGAGGGAGTGTGTGCGTGTGTGTGCGTGCAGTGCCCGCCTCTGGGCGAGGTTTAAAAGGCAATGGCAATGTAGAGAACATCCCCCCAGCTGTTCCGTAGCTGTCATTAGCAACGTCTGAGCTGTGCTCCAGTCCGCATCTACTTGTTTGCCCGTTCCTCTCCTTTTCCGTGTGTTTTCCAGCGACCAGCAGTTTCAGGTGAGTCAGTCAGTGCTCTCGAAGCTTCTGATAGCTAAAATAACATAACCACCACCCCCCCCCCCCACCGCCGCCCCCACCGTTGCAGCCTGTGATGCAAATCGAGAATGCAAGTCACTATTGCGGAGCAGTGAGAGAGAGAGAGAGGTGACTTGAGTACAGCCTGAGGGAAGGTGCTTGCAAATGTTTGGGGTGAATATTTTATTCCCCGCTTGCAGCCGATGCAAATCATGTCGCCGGACCCGCTCGGGTTGGCTTCAGCGCCTCGAGGCACAGTCGAGTCTCGAAGCGCTTCGCGGGAATACGCTGCGCAGTGGAGCGACTGTGTGTTTCGTGAGCGCGCGGCCAAGTCCCACGAACAGCCGCGGCGGATTGAGCGACTGACGTTTGAATCATTTTTTTGGAGGGTTTGTCAACCCCTCCCCTCCCCCCCCTCCCCCTCCCCTCCCCCCCCCTCCCCCCCCGGGTAGCAATCCGCCACTCGACTAACGACTGTCAGGCAAACGGATAAGAGTTTTGGTAAATAGTGAGTCGCAAACGTTTCAATGGCGGATGTTATTTACTGTGGATTGCGGACCTTCTCAGCTGCTTTTTATTGGGTCTTTGACACAGTTTCAGTCCTTTACGTGTTGGCCGGCGAGGCGCTGGACAGATAGTTACGGACCCGAGATGAGGGGCGGGAGGGGGGAGGGGGGGGGAGAAGCATGGAGATCGAAAGCACGGTCGAAGAGGAGGGTCTTGAGGTGGGTGTGGAAGGTGGCGAGGGAGGGGGCGAGGCAGAGGGACTGCGGGATGGAGTTCCTCTATCTCTCTTCCGGTGTGCCGACCGACAATCCCCCAAGTAGGCTTCGAGACATCTTGACGATGTGAAAGGCGTGTGTCTTATTCTTACTATTTTTACACCTGCTGGTGACTGTTTGCAGTGAGACCTTGGCGGTTGAGAGCAGTTAATAGGTGGCTCCACATTTATCGAAGGATTTCTCATTGTGAATACACCACTCCAAGGTCATCTACTCCTTATCTCTTTTGTTAGCAAAGTTAGTCACCAGTTGGTCAATTAACATCCAGCAGGTGCAGGTTTAAGCTCTCACTTGGTGGCTCTTTCCCGCTCTCAACTCTGTCCCCCCATCACGCCAGTCCTCAGAGGGAGGGGGAGACACTGCTTTGCAGAGGCTGAATAAGTAGATGATAATAATAATAATAATAATCCTTGTATTGGACACAACACCTTATCGCGTCGTCGAGACGTCTCAAAGCGCTTCACAGAATACACTGTAAAGTGAATTGGCTGTATATTTTGTGGACGAAACG